AATAATTGATATATATTTAGAGAAGGGATCCCTTATAGTCGGATCGTGTTCCGGATCTGGCTCCGGACAGCATTGCAGCTGGACTCTAGGCCCATAACGAATGGAGCGCTCAGGTCACACTGCATCAGGTGATGCTACTCACTATCTGCATTTCGATAAGCGAAGTTGTTGCACATAGCGTTCTCCAAAAAGAGAAATGCGGTCAGTGAGACCAGAATCTTTAACCAGGAATAGAATGGCTGTTGAATGTTTAATCTTTCCGCAGGCTCTTCGGAACTAGTATGTCTCGTAGGTTCAGAGACCGCGGCCATTATTGAAATCGGCGGTGTGATGTGCCGCTATGAGACAAAGCACAAATATTTTGAGCAAGCCCAATATAATTAGAAGCCTTCTTATGAATTGATTAAACAACAATGATGTAAACAGAGAGGAAAAGATCTGAGAAAAGTGGTTAAATGACACCTACATCAGCGGGTTATTATTATGTTCTGGATCATTGCAAAAGGAAAATTCTTCTTAACCATGAACCCCTGATTTAGAGGATTACAGTTCTAGGAGACATTTAGTTACGCTAATATGGTACATTTTCATTGAGGAATTGCATTTTCAAATCATATCGTGATACGAGGGATCAATTTAGTAGATGAATAATCAAATTAAATGATATAACTGAGTACAAAATGAGAAATCAGTCTGGGTTGACGGAGGTGTTCAACTCCTAAGTGCCACAAATGTTCTCAAGACCCTATCAAATGAACCTTTCTGCTGGGCGAGCAGTCCTTCATCACTTTCTGAGTCACAATCCCCAGATGATTGATTTGCAACCAGTGTTAAAGCTGGTGGTCACCGGCACCGTTGTGTTCTCATACAGTAAAAGTCTTGCCTCATAATTTGCCCGGTGGCTCTTCTGATGGGACTATTTGCTCGACAAGCTATTAAGGCCTGGCCACATCATTTTCGGCCTTGCCTTTGTTCAATATTGTCTTTGTGGTTACTTCTCATTTGAAATAATGTGATTGAATGTCCTAAAAAGACAACATTTTAGGGAAAAAACTTTCTTGTAGATGTAACTTCAGTACATAGCTATGATTTGGTATCTTCTGCTGAGCATCTCGTGATCACATAAAAATCATCCCACCACTTGATCTCATATGTGAAAAAGATTATATCTGCTAATTATAAAACAATGATCCGGAACCGGTTTCAGTGTTATCTGAAGTGTTGACCTTCAAACATCCTTTTATCTGATCTACCCAATGATTCAAGACCCTTTAATACCAATGTCAGTAGAAGAAGTAGATTAGCTTTAGAGTTGTATTCATTTTTAATAAATAATATCAAATCAAGTGATTATTCTTCAAACTATTATCAATTGTTGTGTTTTTAGCCACAAATATTTAAGCTTGTTGAGAAACAAAAGGCAGAAAGATATGGACATAAATTCAGAAAGACAAACGCAAATGTATGCTGAATGTTTCTTTATAATTTAGGTTTTATCTTCATAATATGCATTTAAAAAATCAGGATTTTAATTTTTAATTTTTAATTATTAAATAATAATATTATGAAACTTTATGTTAAAATCAAATCAAATTTAAGAACCTCCCTTTTTTAACCGCTCACTCAAAGGAATGTTCTTTTCTATTTAAGACTGTGCAGAACTTGTCAGAGACTGGAAGCAAACGGGATGACGCACAGAGGCGAGAGAAGGAGTTTCAAAGCAAAGCTTCTGATCTTCAAAGCTTCGTGATCTAAATGAATTATCTTCTTTAGTGATGCAGGTCAAAAGACCGAGACGCACACGGCCTTATCTGTTATCAAGAGAATAAAACATGGAATCATTAAGAAGAAGATAAAGTATACAAAGTAAAGTGGAACAATGAAGTGTAGGGAGTTCAGGTGAGAGGTGGTAACGACAGTAATATTGGCATGGTTACTTCCAGCCAGTTATAGACTATTTGATTGTATAGTAATTAGAGGTTCATCGCTTAAATCCCTAACACTAGTCAGTGTTGATGCAGCTGGTATGCGCTCACGGCTGTGTGCCTCACTGTGTTCACCCGGATTCTTTTAAAGGCAAACAAAAAGGGCAAAGACTTGATATGAATATGAATACTATGAATTTACTTAGATGATTGGAACCATTTGATGGTACAGAAGAGAATAAATAGTGGAATAGGGTTTGAGTGGACGACATACATCTGTTTACACAGTCACATTGTGGGGACTAACTATCCTTATAGGGACATTGATTTTCAATTCAATTCAATTCAATTTATTTTATTTTGTGTAGCCCAAAATCACGGTCTGTAAATTCACGCACTGTAAATTGTGACGTCATCATGATGTGTTCAAATGGAATCTTGTCAAATTTAGGTTTTGATGAGAAAGTTTTTTGAAGGAGGAGTTACATAAGTTACATACAGCTACACAAATAGATTAGATAGGAAATTATTACTGACAATGGTTCTAAGCAACAACAACAAACAATTCAAATTACAAATTGCAAATTGCAAGGATTATTATTGCATCACTAAAAACATAATCTTTTAACTTCCAATCACTTAATCGTGTGTGTTGATGGTTGAAAACCCACAATAAATATTTTTGTTTATTGGCTATAGGCTATTGGAAAATATTCTGGTTGATAGTCAAGAATACAGTGAAACGTTATATTTCCTATACCGACATCTGTATTTTCCAATACAAAGTAAACATTTTAGTAGTAGATGCTTTTTCAGTCCACTACAGGGTGCTGAGTTGTCTCTGATGTGGTCAAAGTGCATGATGTAACATTAATGAACCAGAGGGTTTTCTGTTTGCTGAATAAAACAAAAAGAGTAAATAAAGAGATAAATCGAGGCAAAACTTGTTCTTATTAGAAAACACTTATATTGATAAACTGCACAGTATGCAGACAAAGAAGTACTAAATAGCACTGAGGTGTTTAAACACAGAACCACGCAGCCCTCTGGTGCAGCCTGCAACAAAAGTGCAACAATAAAGTTGACGTCCCTGAGCTTTCCTTATCGAGAGTTGCTCCTGTTCATTTACTTTGCTCTGGTTAAGGCAGAAGTTGAGAAATTGCTCCCGTTTGCTCATCTCCAGCTCAATAGATCAGAAAAGGCTGTGTGCTTGTTCTGGATATTGTATTTCAATATTTAATTTGTAATTAGGAAACTATTTTCCTCTGGTATTTACCCGTAAGTGTGTGTGTGTGTGTGTGTGTGTGGGAGGGGAGGGGGGGGGGGGGGGGGGTCTGCAGGTTATGCAGCGGCGTAATATCATGTGACGCACATTTTAAGTTGTCAATATTTTCAATAATTAAAAACGTGTTCCCTTTGAAACTTTGCAACCGAGGGGCAAAAGGGTTCCCTCAGGGTTACGGAAAGGCTAATAGTCGAGGGAATGGATATAATTCAATGTAATGTAAATAATCATTACAATACAACTGCGTGTGGGTATTTGTATTTGCACTGTTTGATAGAGAAAAGAGAAGGTTCTGAGCAAATTTCTTTTAACAGTAATGAATCTATGGGTTTTAAAGATGTGTTGGTGTGCGTGCGTGTATGTGGACTTGTACGCATGTGCAGGGATTCTGATGAATGTGTCCTGACGGATGGTGTAACCCCCCCTAAGCCTGCCTCCACGTCCTCTGCAGCCCTCCTGTCACGACTGAATATTGAGGTCAAACCACCTTTCATATCCATTCAACATGGCAAGGGCCGAACACAGAAGACAAGTAAACGCCTCATTCCCTTTGAATGCTGAATTCTTTCTTATTTTATTTTCCTTTAGCCAATGAATGCTCAGAAAACTTCTTAGTGCATCCATGTTTCAAATAAAAAATGCAGCATCATGACTCCAGTTTAGGTTGAATTAGATGAGCAGTGTGAACAGGTTGCTTACCTTTGCTTTAACCCTCCACAGTAGGCTGTTTTTTAAAGTGCAGTGTCCATCCATCCATTTATAAGGTTTGGTCAAATTTGCACCCTGTCCATCTTGGGTTTTATCACTGTTCAGCGACTTGTTATCACTTATTTTTCAGGTGTGAAGTACAACCTGATCTACAAATTTTTCCGTCCGGATCATAATAATAATATGATGGAAAATCTGGTTTTGAGAGAGACACTTTTCAGGATAACAGCCATTTAATATAGTTACAACACATTTACATCTCTACGTCTATATTACATTTTCAACACTGAATAGAAATGCCTGAGTTATATCATAAGGTTTCATATTGAATTCTAATTCACTAGTGTCAAGCATGCCTGGAAGTGCAAAGAAACTATTCAGAAAAATTGCAGGACTTGAATGTGACTATTATGAGACATTATGAGGCATTATTTCCTGGGGGAGCCTTCAATCGTCCTCTGTGCAGATGTAAAGGGTAAATTATGTATACTTCATTTCTGTGGCCTGCAATATTCCATCTTGATAGATCTTGATTCACTGCATTGGATTTTAGATTTAAACATTTCAGCATTTACTTTCACACACTATATCAAAATACGTAGGTAACACCAAAGATTTACCTAAAATTGCCGTATAGTTGATCAAAACTATGATAAACTCAAAATGTAAAATAGAGTGTGCTGAGGCATGGATGGGGACTTTTGCCATTTTTGATCGAATCAAAAAAAAGAGTCTGTAGGGTGGGCATCATCTGTAGGAAGAGAGAACCAAAGGGACCAAGGACCAACCTTCATGAGCTGTGTGCCCCAGGAGAGTCACGCTGAATGAGAGAGCGCACCATGAAGAACACTGCTGCTTCCTTAGGGTGACCCTTCTGCCGGCGTCCTGGAAGAGCAGCAGCATATGCAATGCAGGGTCACAGGGGGGGATGTGTATGAATGCCAATAACATCACTGCTGAGCAACGGCAAAATCATTCAAGTTAGATTAAAGGTGAAAATCAACCAACCTTGAAAGGTTTGTCCCTTTGTGAAAGCCCATAAACTCTAATGTCACCTGCAGGAACATACCTGAGGACATCGGTTTCTTTCAGCATGATGGCATTTTATTAGACAAATGATGACACACTTCACTGTTAAAGGACAGTAGCATACATTCAGATCAGCTCATTTGTACAGTACAAAGATAGAGAGGTTTTGGAGAGGTGATTTATGACATCCAGTCTTGTTGGCCCAGTATCCTTGTGCGTACGTGTGTGTGTGTGTGCGTGTTTGTGTTGTGTGGGTGTGTGTGTGTGATGGGCCACTGGAGCCTTATTGTGTCAATGTTATTGATACAGCTTGAAATCTTTGGCCATTCAGGACAGTCTGCATTCTTTTCTGTGGTTGAGACTCCAGTGTAAACAGGCCTAACTTTTAAATGTTCATATTATTAGGGCTCGTACCTTTTACAATTGCTGCATCAGCCGTGGTGCAGAGAGCGTATGTTGAGGGCGGTGGGTGCTGTGGGTAAAAACTTTTAATACTGCATTTTGGCTTCATGTAACTTCATAGGACACATTCCGTTCACGTCTCGAACCTCCTTCCTAAACAAGATAAGGCGACGAAATGACTGCATTTGAGTAGAGCTATCTTGGCTGGTCCGTAAGGCTTCCGTTTTCTTACTTTGTGGAAAGGCGGGAAATGGACATACTACGTTTTTAAGCAGCAAAAGGTTTCGATTATTATTCCTCAGGTGAGTTTTTACAAACATTTTTTTTTTGGATGGACATAAGACGCGGACGCTCTGAGTAAAGCCTTCCGGTAAACAACATCTTCAACGACACCAAATCTTTGAACAAATGAACACAGACTTCACTTGTAAATAAATACCGAAACATCACTTCTTTTTTTTCCAGAACAGGACAACAACATCACATGTCATACATGACGCAATGCGGGATCAGCGTGGCTCTGCACTAGTGTCCATGAGCAAAGTCACTTGATCCCTCATCAGCTGCAATGGCCGCTGATCGGCTCAGTGGACCCTAAGCTGGGAGGTATGGGCGGTGTTGGTGTTGTTGGGGGGTTGGTAGTGTTGAGCAGCTTCTGGAATCAAATAGGAGAATGGAGCGACGGCATTGTCGCCAATACATCCAAATAAGCGGGAGTCAGTGTAATCCGTTGGGCGTGAACGGTGACATGGCGTCCAGACTTATGTCGGCCTCGCAGTCCTCCAAGTCACAAATAGAGTCGGTGGCGTTTTCGTGGTTGTGCGAAAACTGCGAGATCCTGTCAAAAGCATCTTCGTGCTCGATACATTCAACCACGTTGGGGATCATGTTCACGTACGCGTTCGCCATTTCCTTGTGGATGAGGGTGTCTTGGTTGTATGACACCAGCTCGTTGCTGATGTTGACAGTTTCCACCGGCGTGTTGGAGCAGAAATTGCGGCAGCCCAACAGGCTGGCGAAGGCCTTTCTGAACTCGGCGTTGAAGGCGTAAATGATGGGGTTCAGGGAGGAGTTGGTCCAGCCGAACCACACGAAGACATCGAAAGTCGTCTCGCTGACGCACGGCAGACCCGCGTCCCGGTCGGCGGCCGGCCTGTCGCAGAACGGGACCATGCAGTTTAGGATGAAGAAAGGTAACCAGCAACACACAAAGACACCCATGATCACCGACAGGGTTTTGAACACTTTGGTTTCCCGTTTGATCGAGGTTTTCAATGTGTTGTGGTGTTGGCACTCTATTCGGTTTGTCCGGCAACTTTGCGCGTGCTCTGCCGCTCTCTCCAGCGAGGCGATTCTTCTTATTTGTATTTGTGCAATCCGGTATATTCTGGTGTACGTCACAATCATAATTGCTACGGGAATATAGAAACTTATCAGGGAGGAAGATATAGCGTACTCTCTGCTCAGGCTGGAGTCACAGTTTTCTTCCATCTGCGGACTCGCGGAAGAGTTGCGCGTCCCAGCCAAGTCCTCGCCGCTGTCTTTGTGCCAGTTTAGCTGGACCGGTATGAATGAAATGAGCACAGACAACGTCCAGGTTACGCTTATCATGACAAAGGCAACTCGCTGGGTCATTTTCCTCTCGTAGCGGAAGGGGCTGCAGATGGCCCAGTATCTATCCACGCTGATGATGCAGAGGTTGAGGATGGAGGCGGTGGAGCACATAATGTCGAAAGCCACCCAGACGTTACAGAAAGTGCCAAATGGCCAGTAGCCCGCCACTTCTGCCACAGCTTTCCACGGCATCACCAGGATGGCCACGAATAAATCCGACAGAGCCAGAGAGACGATGAAAATGTTGGTCACTTTGGTCCGCAGGTGTCGAAAGCGCAGAACCGCGGAGCAGACCATGATGTTGCCAAGCAGGGTCCATAGGATGAGCAGCGACAGCAGGCAGCCCGTCAGCGTACGCACAAGCACATCCTTCCCGCCGTCCTTTGTCGCCTCCGTTTCGGTGCTGTTCCACATAATCTCGCCGAAGGGTGCCGACACATAGTCAACCCCCTGCGCCGACGAGAGATACTTCTCTGGCTTCTCCATGTGAGTGCTTCTTCAAGTAAAACTGCAGTCCATTGCTCCGTGCGCGCACACGGACGCAGTTATCAGCCATTCACCATATTCTCCCCATTGACCTTCTCGGCTGCCAGCCTGATTTGAAGTGCAAAACTGAAGGAAAGATAGAACTGATCGCCTTAAAACGGTGCCGAGCGACGTGCCAGGTGCGCCGAGGAGCTGAAGCGCACTACGCAGTGGTGCGAGCATGTTGGATGGAGCCTAGTCGTCTGACCTGGCGGTACCTCTGCGAATCTCTTGGTCAAAGGTATCCTGAGCTCGGCGTGGCCGCGGAGCCCCTGCAGCCAAACCTACACCAGCCAAAAGCACCCTCTGCTCATTCGAGCTGGGCGCGCACACATCACGCCTCCTTTGTGGGTGGTGTTAGACGCGTGCAACATCGCAATGCGTTAGAAACACGGGTGTGAGGAAGCCCTCATTTTCCTTATAGGGACTCTGAAGAGCGTTAAACTTCAAATCAGTCGACACCTTTGAACCAATTGAGCATTGTCTTCCCCCCTCGGCGTATTGTTCATATTGCCGTAACATACAACATGTTATCAGGAGTAAAAATGGAGCTTTTTCCTGCAAAAATAAAGTGTGTGTTAAACGCATAGACCAAAATTAAAAAGCTCCTGCCCATTAAATTCAGTATTGTTTAAAGGTTGCAAACACGCCCATTTACACATTTTATAATAATAAGTGTTGGGGGCTGTACGCATGCATGCAGTGAAAAGCCACTGCCGGAGCTGTCCATGGTGCTGCCTGGCTGACTATGTATTGTGTACTTATCTAGATAGACGATACTGGGGAAACCGCAGTAAATCACGACTCCACCTGTTGACCATTATAGCACATAAGCAGAAGAGGTGCTAACCACGAGCGGCCTTTGACTTGTAGTGCAAAGAGAAACAAAAAAAAACAATATAACGGTTTTATAGTTGTGTGATTTGCTTGAGGTGATTTATTTGAAGGCCTCGCTGCATTAATGATCTCCCGTATCTGTCCTTGTGTGACATCGGGGCTAGATGAAGCTGGATAGGCGATGCACTTTATCCCACATAGCCTTTGTGCATCCATACATGCATCCAAGTATCTGTATCTATCTGTTTTTATCTCTCCCTCTACCCAACTATATCTATCGTGGATAAATCAATCTATTTTTATCACTGAATACCTGCGGTTGTTTACCCGCTGACGTCGGCCGGGTGGGGGTCACAGCTCACTTCTCAGAGTGACCCGAAACATTCACACTCTCAGCAGCCGCGTCGAGGAGCTCGGAGCGCCGCGCACAACGTGTCTGTGCAGCAGCAGCAGCAGCAGCAGCAGCGTCGTCTCCGGCTTTGAAACGTCACGGATATTTTTAGACGTGTCCGCCTGCCTGTCAAATCGTTGTGACACTACGTCAAAAATAATCTCCCAACGCCCGACGACAGATTCTTTGGAGTAACCTATATTATCGGGATGTCAGGGGGAAACTTTTACCCGACACAACAGTTAATTCTTTGCAAACAAAGATCGCTTCACATGTCACCACAGCTATGTCATTTTTGTTTTTGTTGAACGATCAAATGAGTGAGACCTATTTCTCTGTGCAACAACCATAAGATTGTCTACAATTATACGATTGTATCGCATTTAAAAATAAAATCCCCAAACAATATAAAATAAATTATTGTTCGTTATAAAGTTTGCTTTTATTACGATGGTTGTAACAATCGGGCGTTAAATTAAGATGTATTTGGAAAAATAACTCAAACTATCGCTCCCCAAAGACTACATGGGCTTTTCGACTGTCCCGTCGAAATATAGGTGTTTGTCGCCGCCCTGTGGTTTGAATGTGTACTACAGCTAAAGCTTACTCCGATTCTCAGTGACGACGTCACAGTACTCAGCAAAGACTTCTTCGGTGTGAAGGAAAAAAGTTCTGACCCACCCCTTGCATGAAAAATAAGAAACGTTTTCTTTATTTCACCGAGAAAAGGATATAGATCCATCACTAATGTACACATCATTACTTAAGAGCACCATTTCATTGGAATTTTAAACAATCCGGGCAGTGTCTCTGTGACTTTGATTAGCATGACAGTATTTACAAAGATGATAATATTGTAGTTTGCTCCTAAAAAACAAGGATTTTCCCACAAATTGGCACGTAGTGAAAACACATACAGCAGATAGCACCAGGTTGAGAACTGAATGAAATTATACATTGATTTGATAAAAAAAAATCATATAGTACACGTATACAGTATATCCATATGTCAAAAAGAAACAATTTATATCACAGACAGAAGGAGTTTTTAATGCTGATCTGTCAGGTGTAAACATACAATCTGTGGTCTAGTCTAAAAAGTTGTCACCACAACATTTACTTAGTATTGGTATAATAATTCTGCAACTATTCTGATACAAGATTTCAACGTTTAACAATATAGATGAACCTGATTTGAACCCTCTTCATATTACGCATTCATCGACTCATTGCTGTCATTACATGAAAAGGAACATTTTTGAACTGTAGATTTGTCATGTAAGTGTGCACTTCTCTATATTATATAATATAATAATGATGTGGATACTCCAGTATAATCAAAACAGTGCTAGACTTCTACCACTAAGCTAAATGAGAACCAGATCCATATACAGTGTGAACATTTCACATGCAAAGACAATATGTGTCAAGTTGTGCACCAGTGCACTTGTGGCTCCATTGAACACCGTACTATTAGATGTTTGAGAACATGTTTTAGTGGCTCAGCTGTAGTATTTAATGAGTCGTTTTTTACATACTTTCAGCTACGGAAACAGTATAAAATGTGCGTGACATATTCAGCATGTACGTTTAGCGTGCTGAACCTGTGAGAAAACTCAACTTAAATGTGACTACAAAACAAAAGTAAAACAAATCTACACCAACGGCCCTTTTCATCATCATTTAAAAAAAATCTCTAATAACACAAGATAATTCCTCGTGGAATGCAGGCTAATAGGTTCACTCAGTTATCCCCACACTGAGGGCGCATCCTCTTGTTTGTCTTTGCAGCTTGTTTTTTAGTCGCTTGGAGTCTGACCCGGACTTCCCCCTGAGCGGCTGCGGGACACTCTCGGGAGTCGGTGGTGACCACTGTTCTTGTGCGTGTAATCTGGCATTGTCATTGCTTCTCCGTTAGACCCGGCGGAACACCTCAAACAGGGAGGCCACTGAGTGCATGCGGTAGAAAAGGTTCAAAGGAATGGCAAAATTGAGAACTGTGGTCCACACACTGAAACCAAATGTCTCTTGTTCTAACCCGTTGTCGTACTGCGGGCGGCAGCCGAAGGCTGGAAGGATCCACAGCTGAAAGAAACAAGGAAAGAAGTTACACTAGAACGGTGTACTGCCAGCTGTGTCTGCAACAATCACAGCTGTATCGGCCGAACCCCACACAGACGCTCTCAAGCTTCAAGGCCTCGTATGGGACACTTAGTTTAAACTCAAAAAGTCTTGGTCTTACTGGTGCCCGCCAGTTAAAAATTGTGAGTGGAAGTATGAAATTAGCAATAAACAGTGTTTGGGGCCAGTGTGAGTCACATTGATGAAGGGTTTTATCAGTTTTTAAAAATACATTTGTATTGAAAAGATGGGCTCTATCGTCACCAATTCCCAATCCAGCTGCTTGAGTCAGCATCAACCTGATATCGGGGCATCCCTATTTGTAGATATGTGTATATCTGTGAAAACAATAATACGCTGACATCACTCTATCACTCTACACATGGTCAAAGTTAGTGTTACCAAAACCAAAACATTGGGTTGAATTAGGTTATTCATATTATATAATATTTCAGCTAGTTGATTGCTATTGTTTAGAATTTTTACACATCAAGTGTAAAAGGTACAAATACCTACCGAAATGTTGCACATTATCAGGAAGACCGCAATGTTTTTCAGGATTTGCCGCTTTACATTTGGGGGCTCCTTTACTTTGCTTCCAACAGGCAGCGGCACTTCAGAAGGTTTCCTCGGACATCTGTACACCTGTCCGCTTTCTTCCTGGTCGTTCTCCATGGTGACACATGTCCGCTCTGGCTTGTCGTAGGCTCTGTTGATGATGCCGTCATACGGCGGGGCCAAAGAGGAAGTCACCGAGAAGATTTCTGGAGACACTGCCAACTCGGGATCCTCACTCTGTCCATCGTCTTGCTGGCGATACAGGGACTCTACGACAAAGATGTTCTGGATGTACTTCTCCAGCACGATGAGCAGAGAGTAGATGAGGTTGGTCCAGCGGTAAGGAGGACTGCTGTTGGTGCCTAACACAGCAACTACGCTGCACCAGGACATGAGCCAAGAACCAATAGAGGAGCCAAACAGCAGCTCCATGTCCAGCTGCCTGGACGGGTTCTTAGACGTGTCCAGTGGCACGTGGTCCGCTCGATATATGAGAAGGGCTGCAGCGCCGGCAGAGCACATGGACACCAGCATGACGATGCCATAAATGTAGAACATGGAAATGGCTGACTGGCGAGTTTGGAGGGATTCTTCTACGTGGGTGACGTAGACCACCAGGATCCCAATAGTGCTGGCCAGTGCAAACAAACCCAGAATGGGGCCTACGGTCAGGCCCTGGGTTTTAGTAGCCAGCCTCTTCTGGTTCAATGAAAGGTCAATGGTCCTTCCAATGTTCTTCCACATGACAAAGAGCATGGCAGAGACAAAGATGTGGTATTCAACGTTGAAGGGATAGAGATAGAAGAGGCTGCTGGAGAACATGGAGCAGGTGCTGGTGGTGCAGTTACAGTGGGGCTCTGAGTGCACTGCAAAACAAGTAAAAACACATGCGCGTTCATGAGAAATACATATATGCTTCCCTAACATAACGCAACTAGATCCATCTATAAAGACACAATACTATACTGGCAGGAAACCAAACGTAATCTTATTAAAATGAACAGAGGTATAACAAATAAAAAAAACATATGCATATGGTCTGACAAAGTTGAAATAGGCCAAATGTATAAGATAGCAATAATTCATTCTTTGCATCGGGTAATATACCGCACTTTGCAAAAAGACTGTTGTCACCACTCAACGATAGGATAAGACGATAAGAAAACATAATATACATGGAACTTACCTCTGACACATTATTTTAGATATGAATGCTTTGAAAGCCTTTGGACAAAAGTATTACAACTAACTACTAATCCAATCCTATCTTGAATGTTTGAAGAGAACTATTTTGAAATGCAGATTAGGTTTGCTGACATGCTTTTTTTCTGGTGCTCTTATTTGTACAGGAAGTGTAGAGACAGACGTCCCATCTATTCACCAAGTGTTTCCCAACCGTTTGGCTTGTGTCTACTTGTCAGTGCTGTATATGTACTAGTCGTGGCCACTTTTTTTACTGCATCATTCCCTGATAAAAGGGTAAAATAGCAGTAACTCGCAAAGAGAGAAAAGATCGGATGAAAATCTGAAAAAATGAACACAATGACAAAACTGTGTGGCAGAAATTGTGCCACCTCTGGTTTTGTTTTACCAACCTAATGCTTTGCATCCACAACAAAGCCAGAAAGCAACGTGTCCAGGTTGGACACTTCTTTATTTTAATGCGTTGCCAGATCTGTTCTGAATGACAAATACATATAAAACGTCTGTAAAAGGTCAGTATTTGTTCTGCAATTTTCCTGAATTCATTCACCAAATGCCTGAGCAACTTAGATGACAAAGCAGGTTATTTTTCTCCACCTCAGGACCACCACCGCACGCCATGGTAATGCTGATGCCCTCTAGATATCATCTCCACAAAACCTTACGATGTGCCCCACTCACCCCCTCCCGCCCCTCACCTCCCAAAGGCGGCCACTATGGCAGCGCAGCCTTTAATTAAAAAATGAACAACAGTCAGGGGGCAGCCATCCTCACAGTCAGCCGGATATGAGGAGGAGCAGTTGAACCCCCCCAACCATGAGCTTAGATGTATCAGTTACTGTAATTGCAGCACCCTTGGGAGGCAGCAGCCTGGGGACAAAGCCGTCTGCGAGGTCAAGCGGGGGGTTGCCAAGGAGGGTGGTGGTGGTGGCTGAAGTGTGGCGAAAGGGCCGGGGTGGGGGCCTCGGCACTAGCAACACTGTGTGTCTCCTGAAACCTAATAGAGAGACGCTCGACACAAACAAGACCCACTGGGCTGCAGAGCTAAAAACCCTCCTCTCCTTCCCTTTTTTCCTTTCATCCATTGAAGTGAGCTCTCAAGTGGACTATTGTACTTGTCTTCTCAGTACAAGCCAGCAATCGACCCCTTGGCCCTTACCTATGGTGAGGTTTCCGTAGCCCAGGGCCGAGAGTCTTCTCTTATGGTTGTTTAAGAAGTGCTCCGCTTCCGACATCACGCCGTTGCACCAGAGGAGGAGGTTGGTAAAGACGGCATGGATGACACCAAATCTGAGGAGACAAACAGTTGAAATCAAGAGTGCTGAGCAGTTAACCAACAGCACACTGCAGCGTTATTACATAATAATAGGCTGCGGTCTCCGGTGAGATGATCGGGATATCAGAACAAGCTTTTATGACCACAACTTTGTACCATACCTCTCGAATGTTTCAAAGCTCTTGATGACATCCTTGATGTGAAACCAGAGAAAGTGCACCTAAACAAAACAGCGAGAGGTATAACCTTGTTATAAAAGTCAGGCAAAACATTATCAAAAGTATAACCTAAAAAACGTATTTTACAGACAGAAAAATCGACTTGAGAATCATTTTAATCTCTTCATCGGAAGGATTTTGTCACTTATACTCACGGACAATGACAGGATTATATTGTGCAGTAACTCTGTGGCCGCCTCAACAACAAAGAGCACATTATTCAGCTGAGTGGTGCACAGAACAAGACCAAAAGCCCTGATAGATTATCACTTTATTCAAATTAAAGTCTGGTTGTAGCCTTACCTGTGCTATGGTGTGAGTTGCATGAATGACAGGAAATACCCCGAGCACCGCCGACACACAAGACTGATACCCAACGTAATACCCGATTCGGAACGCGTCCATTATCAGTGACAGGAGCGCAAGCAGCGTCAAACCACCTAAAACAACAACAACAACAACAACAAAAAGTTATTACTGTTGCACGTTGACTTCACAGCCCGCGAGTTCTTTTGGGGGCTTTTCTTCACTGTAAAACACGAATCCTTCCTTAATCACTTTTGTGCAGCTGATCTCCACAAACTCACCTCTTATCCAGCATGTGGTGGCGTGGACGTCTTTGTCGGTCCGCGCGTTCTTCTGTCTGTCCCGCACCAGGATGTACCACATCATCCAGATCAGCTGCAGGAGCATGAGGCAGGTGACGAAGGACAGCAGGTGCTCTTCCTTGACGGAGGGGCCGTGGTGCGCGATGGCCAGCATCAACGCTGCCCCGATCAGCAGCACGTTGGTGCCGTACTGACCGCTGAGGATCTCGGCGTTCTTCCTCGGATAATCCCCCGACAGACTGAGTTTGAGTTTGGTGAAAACCTTCTTGTCTTGCTCGGAACTGGACGACGAGGAAGAACTGTGGCAGTACTTGTTCAGACACATGATATCCAGGCCGCTGTGTTCCACCATGGTGGGAGACATGCAGAAGAATCGCGCCGCGGAGGGAGGAGAAGAGCCAATGCCGCGCGCTATAAGAGCATTTGGGGCACGCCAGGTGCCTAACCTTTGGCTTCGAGGTGGGGATTCAGGCGACTCGGTACCGTGCCAATCATGCTAATTCAATAGTCACGGTCCGGCCCAGTGGTCATGCACCGTTTCAATGTCCGGCCTCGCCGAGGATGGACTTGACAGATGCCATTGTCACCTTGTAACCATGAAACTGTAATATTCTGGTCCTGTAACCGGCTCGCTGAGAAAACGGTAGATTGCGTTTCACTCCTTGCTGATCCCAGACCCCTGTCCTCGTGAAACTCCCATATGTTTCAAGGGGATCACTGAGCTTGCAGTGCCAACCATTCACTGCCGGAAAAAAAACACTAAGCACGGAAATATCCACAACAACAGAAGAAGAAAAAAAAAAGCGAGCTTTGGCTAAATCCACCTCCGCGGGGCAGCTGGCGGGCAGCAGTCCCCTCCAAGGCCGGAGAAGTCCTCTCAGGGAGGCTATCGGGTGTTACGCACACAGGCCTGCATGAGATAAAAGGGAGGATGACATTTCACAAACATGTGATGTTTACGGGCGGTGGCAAATGACTTGTCCCGACAAGTCCGAGTGCCATCTCCTCAAATCCTCGCGTCCACTGGTGGCAGAGATGTGATTAAAAAAGTTGCTCCCGAGGTGGAAACAGTCAGGGTCAGATTTCGAGGGCTTAACAAGGGCTTCTTGTTAAACGGATGTCGCAGGAGAACACTGAGCCCATCAGCACGGAGGGCTCTTATGGACACGAACCAATTCCAGTTCAATAATGGGGGCGGATGCCTGCAATCGGCATAACAACAAAAGGACTGCTCGCGCATGATTAAGAGGTGATTGGTGTGAATTTAGGATGGAATGGTAATCATCAATCAACCTTTTTTGCAAAACAAATTTACGACGTTAGACCCAATTAGTGAAATGCATGGACTCGGCAAACACTTAAAAACCCGAGTTGAAGTATAGTGAGATTAATATTCGGCTGTCAATTGGTGCAAAAAAGGACAGCTGCAGTGCTGATTTATTATTTTCAAAATAAGAGTTTCTATAATCTTAATGTTATCTGGTGATTATAATGCATCTCAATTAACAGTACAATGTTTATAAACTGTGTGATATGTAACACACAACCTAGAAACAAGTTAAATACGGGCTTCAAAAATGATGAAACGCTGTGATTTCATATGATTGTTTGAACGACAGCTTTAAAACACAACCTAGTACGAATGGTGTCTATTATCCATCAGCTGGCCTTTACGCACGGCGCGGGCGGACCAGTTGTCTTGCCGATTGTCTTGAAATACCTTTTGAAGCAGCTTAATGGGGAAAATGGAGGACAAACTGACTTAGTTTCAACCTTTCTTTCGTCTTTGGGACATCTCGACTCGTTAACGCATCGCGAGGGACACTGTAGCGGCGTCACGTGGTTTGGAGAGATGATTAAGCGTTTCCCCTCAACAGCACATCGGCCTGTCGGAGTATCGATTTAATCACTGAGCATCAGACCGATAATGAAGAAGACTGAGATCTACCAGGGGACTTTAATGGGCGGATGACCAAATCGGAACATTCTTGATTTAATCTGGATGTGTTCAAATAATCTCTCTGCTGTTTGCACTCCAACACCTCGTTGAATGGGAGAGCAGATTGCACAAATCAATGCGTTTTTGTCTTTAGAAGCAAATGTTTAATAGCTGAAGACAGATTGTATTATATTTGTATGTGTGATTGTGCAGAAGTCATCTTTAATGATAGATCAATATTCAAATATTATAGATTTTAATGTAGTTGTAAAGATCTGTAACAAAATAATACTCTGAAAAGCCATTTTAAATACAGCATAGCATTTACATCTGTCTAGATGCTTCATACACACCGACAAGTATTTTGAACATCATAACAAACACTTGAAGAAAGAGGCCAACCAGCCATCCATACTGCTAAAGTGGTTTTAGAATTGATTTTTGTGCTCTAAGTAGATAAAGATTGTGACAAGTAGTGAAATTTGTTATCAAACTTTATTTATGAAAAAACAAGAATAAGTGCATTCAACATAGTTTAAGACAAAAGTTTGTGAAAAAGCGATTTAAACTCGCTGGTTTCTTTGAAGTTTGAAGTAAAAAGTTATAAAGAACACCTTTACTGCTTTCCTCATAGACATTTCCTACACATTGAGATAAATACAAAGAGGCTTCATTCACAGCCCATTTTAAAGGGTTACCATATGAAAAGCAAAGAACACAAAATAACAAAGAAAGCCATTTATCTGCTTCAGTGTCAGGATCCTGGGGCCGTATTCATAAACCTTTGTACGGTTTATATGAAGATTTCTTAAGCTGAGGAGGAAATGGTGGAAAGACTCTGAAAGATTCTGAGAAATATCCTCCAAATGCGGACTGAAAGTGAGTTAATGAATCACAATAGATTTGTTTTAGGTTAATAAGGTAAAACAAATGAAATTAAAGGGATCGGAACACTAAGATCTTTGGCCGATATTTGCTGGTTTATAGTCGTATGTTCAATAACGCTGTTACTAATACAAATTGAACCGCTGACACAGAAATGGATGCTTCTGTTACAATCAAATAGATTTAGCTATAACAGAATATAATGTCAATAGACACCAAATTATATTATTAAACTTATCAATTTCACTGTCCAACATGCTCATTGTCAAAGTGCATTGTGTCTTTTGGATCAACCAATTGCGCCAAATAATGCGTCATATAGCCACAGGGTTAAACCCACCTCCTCAATACGTTAACGTTTGGTTCCCTTCCTCACTCAGAGCTGCTCTGAGAGGTTTTCTAAATAGCTGCGAAGCTAGGACTTGCTAGAAATGTTTAGGCAAAGTTCACATTGTTTGTAAATGGTGGCTTAACGTCACAGCTTCCTGAAACACTTAAACAGAGCCAACTCATCAATAGCCTTATCAGTCATTTCCATCATTCAGAAACACCTTTTCTACTACAACAGGCCAAATTTCTGGTGAGAAAGAAAAAAAAGTCAATTAAAGTGCTGTTTGCCAAATGCTCAACACAATCACATTGTGTCTGCACCATTGTTTCATTGGGAAAACACATCAGTGAAAGATCATAAACTGAGGTGGTTAAACTCGTAGACCACAGTGAACCTACCACGCCGACCTGCCCAGATCAATTGGCTGCAGGTGTATAAGCAGGTTTGGCCGCATACCATTATGCATGCGTTTCATTTTGGTGCTGGAATAATTCATGTTCTTGGAAGAAATTTTCGGTCAGTGAGAGGAAGATTGTTGTGTTGGTGATGGAGGAAAACTACCAAAAGAAAACTTAACATTGTGGATAACAAGATTATGTAAAGTCCAGATTATTCAAGTATAAAGCACTAGATATGTTATGTTCAATGAGACAATATTTCACTTCAAAACATTTACACCTGTCACATTCATCCAAGCAAAGAGATGAACATGACCACACCCATGAACTGTGTGAAGAGGATGAGCGGAGTCAAGAAGGACCACACTGGCCAAAGGGCCATGTTCAGGCTGCAAAGAAAGTACAATATACTTAAAATTACTAGAAACATGAACAATATTAATTATTGTCAGTATGGATATTTTTCATTGATAATCATGTTACTATTTGGCCAACGTATATCCAGTAAGCCAACATCATTTCAGCTCTAATCACGTATAAATAGGATAGGAAAGGTTTTTTGCGGTTATACCTGCAAGATGCTGCAATAAAGGCTGCAGTGGTGATGGGAGGAATGGCAGGGTATTCCTGGTCATAGTGCCGGATGCCTTTGAACCACTCCAGGTATACAATGCAAAACATGGCCAGAGACAAGCAGATCCCGAGGAGTGCCAGTCCCACATTGAACCACCAACTAAAAACCACAGATGGTTGAAAAGAGAGAGACTCGTTTAAGTACAAGTTTATGTATACTTGATGCCGCTTTTGAAACACAGAAGATGGAATCGTTAACGCCAGTGTCAGACTCCAGTGAGACCATTGAAAGTTATCTATAATGATATGTACAGGTAGTTTATAGCCCATATACCAAAAAAATAGAATTTCTCTTGACTCCACCTTTTGATATCCTCATTCTCTATGATGTTGTGGAAGAAGTCCACGTAGTAGGTCACACCGACAGATGCCACAATCCAGAAAATGGAGTGTCTGTTGATGCGAGGGAGAGGTTTGGCATCTTTTTCCTTTTGACCTGAATGGCAATAGAAAAAAAAAAGCTTCAATTCCCAAGTTTCCCATAAAAGCATTCTTCCTTTCATAGTCTGAAAGTGTTTCAGTATGGTACAGAAACAACCATTAAATATGAGCTTTGTCTCGCCACAACAGAATGGGCCAAGTCCGCGTCTTGCAGGCTTAAGGAGCTTTGGAGGTGAAACTGATGGCTATCTTCGAGATAATCTTACTTCTCAGGAGAAGTATTAATCACTATAATTTACTGGTTGATTAAACGCATCAGGGCCCATTGTTGGCGGATGAACTGCTCCTGCGTGCATTTGGCCTGTTACTTATATTACAGCTATTAGTTTACATTGTCAAAGAGACAGAATGGAGACTGTGTTGGAGTGATATCCTGTATCACAGCGTTTGCTGCTTACAGTCCAAACCATCAACAATTGCTGTGTTTCTGCCAGCGAAGGCCTTGAGTTTGTCCACATCCAACCTGTTATGTATCTAAATTAACGTTCGTTTTGTGAAAGAAAAATGGCAGTCTAAAGATTGTCTACCACGTAATCTAACGCTAAAAACTGCCCATTCAACAGATTTAAGCATAAAAATGAACAACTTTTCCAATAGTAATGTTAGCTCAAGTTATCAAAACGGATAAATGCTTATTTGACACGCTAACGTTGCAGTTGGTGCCCAAACCAGAGCTAACGTTATATAGCAAGTTAGCCAACGGTGTTAGTCAATACAATATGTCCGGGGCTTACTCTTTTCATCTTCGTCACCATTTGTTGCTGTTTGCATAAGAAACTCCGCATCTCTCTTAAATCTATTCCGCAACGTTGCAAACTCGCTGTCATTAAGCATTGTGTTGACAATATCTTTAACTTATAACGTTACTAGCATTAAAGGCTGACTAGTGATTCAAAGGCACTTCCGGTTAGACGCGGTCGCTTTTATATGACGCACTTGACAACGACCGTTGTAGTTTAACTGATGTCAGGGCACATCGGAGGAAAACCAATAAATACGGCTGAACAAACCAAAAGTAATTCAATTTCTTAGGAGACACATTATATATGAATAGGATATATATTAGTATCAATTACTGCATTATTATTTTCTGGCCTTTGTTATCTGTGAAATGAACAAACTTTAAACAAAGTCCCTTTTGAGTGTAGGAAACAATGTTCGTTTCCCCATTCATTTACTTATAAATGCAAAACTTTGCATTTGGGTTAGAGAAGGTGTGCTGGGAAGCACAAGGTTGGTGGTTCGAGTCCAGGCTGCTCCAAGTGTCCCTGAGCAAGACACCTAACCCCTAATTGCTCCCCAGGCAAAATGTGAAAAAGCCATGGGTTTCAAAATGTAATGTAAGTCGCTTTGGATAAAAGCGTCTGCTAAATGACCTGTAATGTAATGTAATGGACTTGTGATGCATACAATAATCTTTACATTTACTGGATGTGCTTAGTGAAAATTTTCAAAAGGGAAATCTGAAGAACGATATTTTATGAAGAACTTTTTCCACACAGACCATCTCAACACAAACCTAGATACCCTCAAAGGGGTAACTTGGGATATTCAATTAAAATGTATAACAGGACACAGTTGTTCTCATCCCACGAAAACTTGCAAAATGCATAGTGGCTGGCTGTGTTCCAAGGTTTATCTTGAATGTATACCTTTACATAGCACGGGCAAGAATCTGACACTGCTGATATCGTTGTCCTATTTCGACCTCAATTTCGATCTGGCAGAGTGGGCACGTGCAGTGAAGAAAGAGGTTAATACAACTTGCCGCCACCACTTATTCTGAAGCAGTCACACGCTACATTCCAACGGCAGATTATTAGGTTCATCTAAAACAGATTTAGAAAGTCCTGCAGTGATTCCTAAATCCCTAATATATACATATCATATATAAACACCAGAAAAGGTGTAATTAATAATCAACCCTTGTTTATAGTACAGTCTCACGTGTGGACACCTTTTAGGATAACAAAAAGGGTATTACCTCCGACTTTGGTTCTTACGCTGGTGCAAAAAGCCCAAAAAATCCCACATGGCAAAGTTTATCATCACATTACATGATCCAAAAGGACTTACATTGCGTTTTTAACCCGTGGTTACATTTTTCCCAGGGAGCAGTCAGAGGTTGGGTGTCTTGCTCAGGGACACCATACGATAGCACCAAGTGGACTCGCAGCTGTGCAGTGCTTTCTATGAAACAGTTTAGTTTGACTGTTGGCCAAACAGTGGACACATGGGAGAATAACAGGAAGATTATAAATAGACACATATATACAAGATTAATATGTGCAGCATTTTTTTAGTCTGACCACTCAACGCGCTTACACGTCATCATTCATCCATTCACACCCTCATGCGTTGATGACAAGAGACACACGCACGCAATTTGGGGTAAATTGGCCTGTGCAGGGACATCAACGTGGAATAGTTCCGTCAAAGATTTTTATTAATGGAAGTGATTTGACTACTAAAGATTAAATAGGTCTCAAACATTTAGAGATATAAGGGAAGGACCATAAAGTCCACAAACCAAGGTTTTAGCAGTAAAACTTCTGACAAATGAAGCCAACGAAAGGAGCAACTATTTTATCATGACATCAGCATTTCATCTTTGAGAGAAAATATGTAGTTTCTTCTTTCAGTAATGGCCTCCTCACGACAATAACCATGGGCGGAAATGGAAATGACATGGTGCAGTTTGCTATAAATGGCAATAAGACCGACGTTTAGCGTGGAAATATTCCAATGAAAGCACATGGCGAGAGTTGATCCTGCAATATCAAATGGCAAAAGTAAAATGATCGCAGATCCGTTTTGCAACAAGATTTACGTCTCAGTAGTTATGGAGTCTCCTGTGAGGTCGGCATTAAAACAAAACCATTAAGCAACACTTTTAATACAAGCAAACTTGAGTAACAGCTTGATTAATACCCAAAGTATGCAATATACAATTACAAGTAGTGTAATGAATGAGCATCAGTGTTAAACCTGCTGGGATTAACAGGGCTTCATAATGCTGGGCAGATTTCCGCTTTCCTCGTGTGTGTGTGTGTTGGACAAAATCAGACAGTATTAAAACCTCACCTGAGGCTGACACCAAGCGTCTTGCTTCTATGGAGCTTCTGTGCACCCGGCCAAGTGAACCCCGTTCGGGGTGCCGAGGAATGTGCATTAGCTTCGTCCCGCGTGAGAGTCAAATTCACCTCAGGGGCACCTCTCTTATTTCCCTTCCCCCACTCAAACATCCAATCCCACAGATAAGATGCCATTTTGCAGCCTTACCGTGGACTTGGAATGTGGAACAGAGCAGCAGTCTATTACAATTATTTCATACATGAAACACTGACACGCTGTAGGGTGATTTGTAACAATCTTCCTTGTGCTTACGAGGCCACCGCAACCAGTAAAGCTACTGAACAGGAACCAGACAGGTAGTTGTGTTATAAAATCATTTAATCCTCGAAATTTGGTCATCTGTACAAAAACATCAAAGCGAAGATTGAAGACAAGAATGGCATTTCAATTTTAAAAGTCTAATAACATACATTCTGTGCCAGACGGGTGAGTCATACACCTACTTTACAAGTCTAACTCGGTCTTTCAAGACTCTAAATTTTGGATTGTTGCTGATCTTCTTGTTGAAAAGGGCAAGCACCTCCTCCTCTTTTTTAAAATTCCCATCACCAGTAAAAGAGTAGTATGCTGCCAAAATCTGTTTAAAGAAAAGAGGGGGGGGGGGGGGGTTTAATGTCATATTATACTAAAGAACGTCTCTGATAATTATATAGTATATCTGAATATAGTGAAAATCACTTATTGTGATAACGATAACAGATCAAACACAAAGGATTATAAGGCTTTCGAATGTCCTCACCACCGATATTGTTAATCAGTTTCTTTTACATTGTTGACTTTTGAGTCTTCTAAAAAAAAATGACATTTCCAAGACATTTAAAACCAAATATTTACATTTTTTCAAAACATGCCTCCCATAAGAATTCAAAAATTACTTTCACTCTTGCACTGATCACACCAAGCTGTAGCTTAGCATAAATCCACTGACTTAACTTGTCCACAGCACTATACCGTTTATAGGCTATAGCCCAATTAGAATTTGAACTACAAGAATGTGTAACTGCAGTCAAATTGTAATACACACAAATGTTAATTACATGAGCAATAATAAAAATAAATAAAGATAATAATATGTCTATCCATTTGTTTAAGTAATACAAGTGCTGCTGGGATTAGAAGTCTTATGCATTGTAAACTACAAACTCCAGATTATTTCAAACGCTGCATGACTCACCTTCTTCTACAGTTTTTTTACTGGCAGTTCCTGGTCAGCAGATTCTCTGAGTACAGCCTTGATATTTCCCTTCCAGTTGAATTTGCCTGCAAGTTAATCAGAGACATACATTAGCTATCAAAATGCCGGTAACTAAGCAACACTGACTCCTGCTGGTCATTTCTAGTTTTAGTTAGTTTAGCCAAATTCATGCTGGTAACCACTTTACCTCTGGGAACTTTTTGATCCTCGGTCTCTGAAGTCTCAGCAGCCTCTTCGTCAACTGAAACAGAACAAAAGAATAAATAATCATTTTTGCAAAAATATATAAATCTGTACATTTTTTACTAATACTTTCAAACGCAAACACAGTTATGTATTCATTCAAAGAGAAATACCCTGACAAAGACACTTCTATGATACTTTAAGAACAGCATAACTTTAAAAAAAAATCTTTACTTGTCTTTGACTTCTTGCTGGATGTCTCATTATCGGCACCATTCTGCTCTTCATCTTCTTCAGAGCTGTGCTTTCTCTTTCTGTCCTTTTTCTTTTTGCCTTCTGGCTCCTCTGCAACAGTCTTATCGGCACCTTTCACCGCCTTCCCATTCTTCTGCTGACGTGCCGCTTTGCGCTCACGTTTGTTCAGTTTCTTCTTCCCGCCGTCTTGATGGCCGTTCTGTTTTTCATTTCCATTAGAATCCACTCTGACTTCAGCCACGGTCTCTTCAGCTGCTTTAGTCTCTTGGGGGGCCTCAGGAGACTGTCAAATTGTAGGCGAGTAATACATGTCAGTTGGGACATTGAAGACATGGGGAACTTATTTTGCTCATTTCCATGACTAAAAATATTACAACCAGATAGAAGAATCCATGCTCATAGAAGAGCAATAACCAACAATCAAGTAACTTACAAGGTCAACTGCAGTGAGGAGGTCCCACACCTCATCATGAAGACTGCTGTTGGCTATGTTAAGACAGCTTTTCATCCAATTCTGAAGAGAATACAAAAAAATGATGAGTTAATGGAGACAAGCAAGCTTTTCATCAAAGTGTGGTTAATACCCAGAGGCCACAGCTCCCTCACCAGCCCCCCTATACACATAATGATCCATGAAATGCTTCAGGCAATAGACAGGCTGCACCCTGGATTGGTCGCCAGCCAATCGCAAGGCCTCTTTTAGTGCGTTATTGTAGCAGAAGGAAGACATTGCAACACAAGAACTTCATTGTACAGATTAACATGTAACTGTAGAGATGACAATAAATATATTGAATCTTGAAACAAAATGATTATCTAGCGACACCAACCTGAAACTTGGCCTTCTTCTTTGGGACATTTTCATATGAACTGATTTGTTGGAGTACACCCTTTAGCTTCGTACTGACTCCAGGTTTGTTCATGGCGTCATGGACTCTCTTCAGGAGGAGATTCATCAAGTTAGCACACAGAAAAAAGAAACAGACATATAGATAGTACAGTGACAGTACTATGTGTGAGTAGTGACAGCTTCTCTCCATTTTACCTGAATCCACTGCTGCTGTTTCACATCTCCTTTGTTGGCCTTGGCCTCGAAGCCTTTGCCTCCATACTTCTGGTTTTCACTGATACATCTCGTGTGGTTCTTGTAGTCATCACCGCTGTTTAACACGCACAGAAACAACATCGTTGCAAACACGGAGATATATACGGGAATAACGATAACTACTATTCAAAGATTGAGACGGCAGTAGACACCCGGACATTACCAGAAATCTTTTCCACAGTCGATGCAGGAAAGGACCTGGCATCCCCGGCACATGCCCACGTGTTTGTCAACCTGGGCTTTCTTCAGGGATTCACCACAGGCGTTGCAGGTGAAAAACACCATTTTAACGACACGTTTTGCTTGCCACTGCCGTATTACTACTTTGGACCGATTCTGCTATCAGAGATAGCTTAATGCTAACGCTACGTTAGTATAATTGCGTTAAAATAAAGACGGTACAATCATCCGGCAAAAGTGGTATTCGGCAGCCCGGAGCGGTTTCTTTAGACAAAAAAAGGTAGAGAAGCTCATGTAAAAGTTCCCAGCGCGTATAACGTTAGAAGACGTGAGCTGCGACTTGAACTGCGTGTTCTGCTCCATTCATGAGAACTTTTCAAAACACACGTGACGACACCGTGGTCGTGCGCAACATGAATAGTCTTCCGTGTGAAACGCAAAATGAGAAATGTTCTGACCAACGTGAAATTGAAATTGTACAAAGCGCTTTTTCTCTTCTCCGGAGCTAAATGGCAGCTGGTTGACGAGCTAATTAAATCATTCTGATACGTGTCAATATATTACACCATAGACTGAACGTCTCAAACGAACCCTTCATGTTATATGCTTATTGTTTAGGCGACGTGAAATATTGGTTGTACTGGGAGGAAGTGACGTCTTTGTGCTGAATAAAGTGACCCATCATCCACATAAGAGGTTGACTTCTTCGATGTAGGTTGGGATTTATATTTATGTCCAGTTTTACTGAGCTAGCAACATTTAAGACTTCCATTCTTGTTTGAAAATACAATTCGTAAAGGATCTGGTGGCGCACCGATTCACAATGTTCATATCCGTGATGGTTAGCATAGCATTGCAGTTAGCTTGTTAGTCGTTTTTGTCCAAATTTTTGCATGGGTGGTCTTGTAGTACCGACGGATTAGAATTGTTGATTTATCCATCTGATTTTTACAATTTCAAATATAAAGACACCTCGCTTGTATCGCTATGCAATAGGTGCCACTTAAAGGACAAACTAACAAGAGAAATACTAGATTTCCTTAACAAGAGATTTGTTTTTGTTTGTCATCGTGTGTCCCCTCAGAAAGTGTTTTGATGGAGAAGTTGGGTCTGGGCGGTTGAGCAGATGATTGACCATGGACACCCTGTCCAGCCACAGCTCCTACCTCCTGCAGCAGCTCCAAGAGCAGAGGATTCAGGGTCTGCTCTGTGACTGCATGCTGGTGGTCAAAGGTGTCTGCTTCAAAGCCCACAAAAATGTCCTGGCGGCTTTCAGCTCCTATTTCAGGTGCTTATATGCAATGTTGTTTGCAAACGAGGGACATGTCAGGGAATCTGTGGCATATTTCCATCCTTATCACTTAAGTAATCATGTGTTGCTGTTACAGAGTAACATAACGTTAAAAGTATTGTTTTGATCTTTCCAGGTCATTATTCCAAAATTCCCCCAGTCAGAAGAATGAGGTTTTCAACTTGGTCATCCAGGATGTCAGTGGCATCGGCCAAATATTGGACTACATGTACACCTCCCACCTTGACATCAACCAAGACAATGTGCAAGCGCTCCTGGACATTGCTCAGTGTTTGCAGGTTCCAAATGTTCAAAGCATGTGCAACGCTTTCCTCAAGCCTTGTCCTCCACCAGTGGAAATCACATCATTCTCTCTTCCAGGCATGCTGAGTTCTGAGCATGACTGCCTCTTGGGGAGCAATCTTCCTCATGATGTTGACCTGCAATGTCCCTCTGAAACCTCCAGGCCTGGCTTCAACGGCGACATTGACCAAAACAAAAGGTTGCCCGTTTCTGTGCCTAACAGCAGCTCGAACTGTGACACAGCAAGCAGCATGCAGGCACCTGCGGAAAAACAACTTGTCCATGGTTACAAGCTCCGTAACTTCTATAGTAAGCAGTACTTTAAACAAAGTGCACTTCAGACTAACAATGCTGCCTTAAATCAAGGCCCGTGCCCCTTGGTGCTAATGGAAGATCAGCAGTGTCCGCTCGGGGTTAGCCAGGGGGGCAGCAACACTCCCGTATGCTCAGGAAACACCGTTCAGCCCAATCCTCCCTGCACGTCTGTGGCAGTCCAAAAGAACAATGTCTCTTCTTTAACACCCTCCGATAATTTGAACACCCCCACTGCTAACTCGGCAGACTCCATGCTCAACAAACCAGTGCGGCCAAAGAAAGCCGTGTACCTGAAGAAATACAACTACCTCCGATCTCAGAAGGCATTGGAGGAGATGTTTGCTGAATCGGTGAGTGAGCCCGTCCTCAGCTGTCCCAAAGAAAGTCATCAAGAAGAGTCTGTGGTCCAAACTCCAGTTTCAGAATCCCCCATCGAGGGACTTAACTCGGACAGGGAGCAGGTTACAGAGACGGCAACAGATGTGCAACCTCCTAGTCCACCGCCTGAGAACCAAGAGGAACATCTGAAAACTGTGCCAGAGACACCAGAGACACAGCAGCAGATACTTAACAAGCAATATTGTTGTGAGGTGTGTGGGAAGATCTTCAAACACCCCAGCAATCTGGAGCTGCACAAGCGCTCACATACTGGTATTTACTGTTTACATTAGCACATAATTGTCATTTTTTGGTAAAAATATTTGTGAAAGCAAACCTACATTTTTGGTTTCTGCAGGCGAGAAGCCCTTTCAGTGTAATGTTTGTGGGAGATACTTCTCACAGGTATGGTCTGAGGTATTATTTTGATTGGCCACAGTTATGCTGAGATGCAGATCTTATTTTGACATATCCAACTAATTTACAGGCTGGAAATTTACAGACACATTTGCGGAGACATTCCGGAGAGAAACCGTACATCTGTGAGCTGTGTGGTAAAAGGTATGTACCTTCCATGTGTGCAATTTCGTTGTTTATATTTTTGGTCATTCAAGTATGTTTTGTCAGTTTGCTGTATGTACTGCTTACACGTTTTCCTTTTCATTATTGCAAGCTGCTTATTACTAGTTTACAAAAGGTTGGCATGAGTTTGTGCATACCAATGATATGGCTTGAGACATTTAAAAATCTGTGAATAACCAATTTGAATAGATTAGAGTTTTGGCCATAGCCATATGATCTCCGTTCTCCATGTATGACCCAACCCTATAATATAGTATGTAATAGTCCATACATTTAATACTCCTCTGTGTTTTTCAGCTTTACTGCATCAGGCGATGTCCATCGTCACAAAGTGGTCCACACTGGAGAGAAGCCCCATCTGTGTGATATATGTGGTCGAGGTAGATGACTGCTCTAAACAGAAGCAATTATCTTAATTATTTCCTTTATCCATCTACATGGAGTTCCTAACTGATGATGAAGTTGAACCTTTATGAAGTATTGATAGTGTGAGCTGCTTAGTTCACGGAACCAGTTGGAGAATTGTGATATATTTTGTGTTGCCTGGTGATTTATTTATTTTTTTGTCACTGTGTGTATTTCAGGATTCAACAACTTGAGCAATCTCAAGGAGCACAAGAGGACTCACGCCACAGACAAGACATTCACATGTGACCAGTGCGGAAAATCCTTCAACACACACAGAAAACTTCTGAAGCACAAGGCCCGTCACACTGGGGAAAAAACACACAGCTGTGCCACATGTGGTAAGGAGCCGTGTCTTAGCAATGTAGACAAAGTTGTATTCTAGGGCTGCAACAATTAGTCAGTTAACTGAAAATAAATCTGAAGCTATTTCAAGAACGTTATGTTTTACGCAGATAAACCCAGCATTTAAGAATTCCAGCTTCAGACCTTCTAAATGTTGTTTGTTGTCTAAATGCTCCTCATTATCTCTGGTACTGGACCATCTTTTAGACGTTACAGACGTTTTTATGACATATAGGGCCTTGCTAAATTACAGTGGTAATTTCTCAAAAGACAATAAAACGCTTGAGTCCTGTCTTATTGCTCTGCACGCCAAGTAGAGTTCAATCCGTGTCAAAAAGCAATAATGTAATTCAGTATAAAATAGCAAATGTCTGCACCGTGTTTACACTGAAAATGTGTTGTTGTTTTAGGGAAATGCTTTATTGGCTCCGGGGACCTGCAGCGTCACATACGCTCCCACACTGGTGAGAAACCCTACATCTGCAACGCCTGTGGAAAGAGCTTCACCCGCTCTGCCATGTTGAGGAGACACAGCAACATGCACTGCAAAGGTGCTCCAGCTGACAGCCCTGTTACAGACAACTCCGACCCACCCAGTAGCTCAGATGGAGCGGCCGCGTTCCCCAAACCCGTCAGCCTCGGTAAACCTCCTGCAGCAACCATTGATCAGCACTTCCCCAGCATGATGCCCCATGCAGGCTTGGTGAAACCCCCACTGACTACTAGTTCTCCACCACATATCGAGAGTCCGGGTCCCACCCGCACACGCCTTCCAGAGCTGCGCTCGCTGGTACCCCACCACCTTCTTTCCTCTAACCACCAGGAAAGCGGTGCAGCCCCGACAGCCACAGACCACATGAAACTCGCCAAACCACACTTGTCTCAGGAGGTTGTGTATGGTCCCTATGTGGAGAATGGGACCATGTCTGTGGAGATGGGCAGAGGTGGGGTGGGCAGGTCATACCTCCCTCCCACAGACAATCACAGCAGTTCCCTCAGTTCTTCCAGCAGGCCCAATAGTGGCTCCTACAGGTCCACTGAAGGTCAGTTTATCTCCAGTGTGACTCTGTGGGGCCTGGCAATGAAAACGCTGCAGAATGATAACGACATGGAACAGTAAAATGTTGGTGAGATGTTAGATCAGAGGTTGTGCACTTCACTGATAGTGAATTTGTTTTAATTGGTATCAACTGGCGCTCGGTTGGTCATACTGACCTGTAACACACAAACGGTAGCTCTCATGTATCCTTTGATAAAGCAAACGTGAAGTAATATGATTTATTTATTTATAAATCAAAGAGCTTCCTAGTTTTTTTTCTTAACCGAAAAAAATACAAATCTAAGAAAAATCACAATAATTGCCTAAAAATTCCAATGTTGTTTTTCTGGTCCCAGTTTGTGAGGTCAATGCAGGTGTGCTTCTTCATATGTCAACAACTATATTACCCTTAATTATAGATACAGCAATGCACCAGTATTTGGCCTCCTATAATTCAGTGTGTTTCCAGGTCTTAAGGTCTAAACCGTAAACATCACAGTATGCATCTCAGTTAATTACCCTCTTTCACTTTGCATATACTGCACTGCACTTTCAACTATTTTCAACTATCACTGTCAAATGTGGCTGTATTATATTCATATCTGAATAACATACGTACAATATGTTTAATATTAACACTTGCCGTGTTAAGGTATTTTACATTTCTTTGTAAACAAAAAAAGGGTTTTATTTTTTTTACATTTCTTTGTAAACAAACAAGAAACAAACAAAAATCAAGCTTTTGGTGATATATGAGGAGAAACACAGCTCCGTATTTCTTTCATGTGCAATACAAAGTTTGACATATTAATACCATAAATGTGAAAACTGCTATTTGAACGCGTATCGCACAAAATCTTAGATTGTATTATAGTTTGTAAATGTATATTTGTATATGAACTGAAAACCTAAATAAAGTTTAGGCTGGTTTACCATGACATTCCTGCACAAGCTTACAGGTTCACAATTATTCGTGCCCTAGAGGAAGACTGTAATGTGGTGATTGGTTACAAAATGTTTGACTGTGGCCACGCAGTCCTCAGACTTGTGTTGCACTGCAGTTGTACGCGGTCCAGTGCAGTAGATGGCGGTACAACACCTCACTGTTGCCCGTATCACTGGACACGACACACTACTCTGGAGGCAGCACATCTCCCGCAAACGAGGGAGCTAACGGAGGCTGCAGGATGGCCATCTCCACGCTCCAGTCCTTCAACGTCTTCCTCACGGAGAGGTTGACCGCGGCCGCGGGGGACATCTACGGATTCGTTGAGAAGACAATCGTAGACTACCAGGAGGAGGTGTACCAAGCGAAGCTGGAGAACCAGCGGTTGCAGCGGCTGCTGGATTTGGTCTACAAACCCGAGATCAGGCTGCGCAGGGCAGGTGGGTTCCTGTGTTAGTTGATCATTAATGGTAATTAGTGATGATCGTTAATGGCATCAGATCGCACTGAAGTCACGTTAAGGGCTGTTGTTGTTTTTGGCGACATTCCGTTACGTTGGCAAACCGTGTTAGCTAATGCTACGGTTTTCTTAGCTATAACGTTACCTGTAAAACGGAGAGGGGACATTTCCCGTCGTATTTTCAAAATAAAACCAGTTAAGCCATGATGACGAGGCTCCAAGTGACTTTAATTATCAAAGTACATCTACAACTTTTAGAATATATATATTTATTGATATGCATTTAGACGATAGTGTGGTATTTTCGGCATACGTCTGATCTACCTAGCAGTAGCCAATTGTAATATATCAACAATTACAGTTTATCGAGAGCACAAAGTGCAAAGTGTGGAGACTTGGTCCTGGCTGTATTCCATTATGTTACCAGTTAAAGTCAATAGTAAATCATTGGCAGGGAATATGTGTGTGTTTGTAGTTTATTACATTTGAAGAAACCCGTAACCGTATGTGTAAGTCTCACACATATGTAGGGGATGGTCACTGTGTCTTCAGTCTCACATTCCTCTTTCTCTGTACATCCCTCTGCTTCAGATTCTATTTCAGATCCTCCGTCTGTCCGTCTTTCTTCATCTCATCCCTCACCCCCCCCTTTCTCTGCTTGGAGGGTCACATCCCATAATACAGTGCAGATGAACATGATTCAGACGATAAAGGTTTATATGTTGAACAATATGAAACTTAATCTTAGGTATTTTGAAACAACAGCAAATTTATTTTTGATTATTCCAACGGCAGAATACAAGGCGCAGGGAACTTTGAGGTGGTGAACGCTATTTACAGCTGCGTAAGCGTTATTTCCAAAATTCCAGAGGCACGTAAATGGCGTTAACACTCCAGTACAGGCCTGGTTAGGAGTAAAAAATAAAAAACAGGCAAGTAACGTAGTTGTCGTACACCTAAGTGACCTCGAGTCACTAATGGCAACAATAAAACTTCTATCTTGCAAGTTACGGGAAAAAACAACTTAATAGACTAGATGTCTCCATATGGGCAACAAGTTTCACCATTTTATATGAAAGTTAGATTGTATTTTATCCTGATCGAATGAACCACTGCCATTTATGTTACCATCAAGTCTAAGTTTGCATACAATTAATTGATTCTTGCTAACTACAAGTTATATAATATAACAGGGCTGTAGTGGAGGGTAAACGCACGTAAACGCCGTTTACGCACCTCTGGAATTTTGGAAATAGCGTTTACCCACCTATAAATAGCGTTTAGGCACCTCTAAGTGGCGTTTACGCACCTTTAAGTGGCGCTTACGCACCTCAAAGTTCCATGCGCCTTGTATTCTTCCGTTGGAATAATCCGAAATAAACTTTGTGTAATTAGTAGTCGCGCGCTCTGTGTTCGCTGGTCGTGCACGGTAAAAGGACAAGAAAAACGCCTGGTGACGCGTATATTAGAAAACAAGTCAGTTCTCAATGTGAAAAAAACATGCTGTATAGGCTATTTATGATGACATAGGTAGTACATGAGTGTTCCTTTAACTTATGTTGTCAGTGTAATTGACAGGCTGCTTAACTGGTTAACTCTTAGGACTCAGAGCAACACGTTCTGGGGTTCATGGCTCTTCTGTGCAAGGCAGGACCTGACGTGGAGGACAAGGAGGCCCTCTGGGCACGACTGTAAAAAGGAGACTCCATATGTAGATAGTTCTTAATCTGCAATTGTCTTGTTGTGTTGACATACTTTTCTTCACTGTTTTCTTAGATTTAATAAACTACAAACTACTAACCCATTTATTCATTATCATTGATTGTATATGACTTTTACTGATAACATAATGCAATATAGCCAGGACAGCCTTACAGAGTCGCGACGCTTTGTGTTGCGTTGCTTCGCATCGCGTCAAGGTCTGTATGATCACAAAATTCAGAGTTCACCCACCTCTAATTTTACCACTACAGCACTGGTTATATGCGTACAGTTGGTGGTTTGGCTGTTTGGAGATAATAAAACACTCACAAAAAACCTCAAAGCAATTTAATTTGAGTCTGTTTGAATCGATTCGATTCCTTGTACCCTGTGCCTATTAGAAGGTGGTTGCTAGGCAACACACACTTATGGATTTCTTTAAAATGCAATAGTAATGTATTAGCGGTGTCGTACTGTAACAGTCATACACACTGTGGACTGTGAGTGTGACGCATTTCTGTCACCGTCTTTGCAGATGGCGAACAGCAGACTGCACTGATTTCGGTGGAGGAGATCACCCCTAAACTGGAGGAGTGTAGCCCGAGTGCGTGCCAGGACCAGCCGGGACCCTCCCGGGAGAATGAGGAGCAGGAGGAGCACGGGGAGCAGAAGGAGGAACTCTGGATCAATGGGACGGAGGAGCAACCGGCCGCAGAGGACAGCGACGACGGGGACGCCTTGACGAAAGAACTCATCAAAACAGTGCAGCAATTGGAAGACTGTAGAGCAGCGGAGGAAGGCAGAGAGCCAGAGCAAACGCCTGCAGAGGATCCAGAGCACTCTCAAGAGAAGACCAGTACCACCTTGTACCGATGCCACGTATGCAACTACATATTCACCAAAAAGTCAGTGCTTACATGGCACCTCAAGACGCACGAAAGCAAGTCACATGACGGCAAAGGGAACTTTGACTGTCACATATGTGGCAAACACATCCCCTGTCAGAGCAACCTGCAGAACCACATGAGAGTCCACACGGGAGAGAGACCCTACAGCTGCCATTTCTGTGGCAAGTGTTTTAAACTGAAGGGACACATGACGGAACATATAAGAACTCACACAGGAGAGAAGCCGTTCAGCTGTCACATCTGTGGCAAATCTTTCAACAGAGGTTCAACTTTGAGGAAACACGTTTTAGCCAAACATAAAGAGGAGAGGCCGTACAAATGTGGGGATTGTGACGAGTTATTTACCGAGAGGCTGCTGATGAAGAGGCACATGCGAAGAGTTCACGGAGTAAAATTGTCCACCAGTCAAAGTCTTGCCTAGAACTTCGGAGCAGAATGTGGAATAAAGCTCGGTGTCTTTTTAAAGGTTTTGATGCTAGCGCCAGTGAGTTTTGGTACCAAAATGTTTTTCAAGATGTTGCTGAATATTTTAATGACATTATGCCACGTTCCTTTTTTTTCACAGAAAGCCTAAATGTTAAATGTTGTGTAACATAAATAACCTTACTTTGCTTGAATAAAATACCATCAAGGATTGAATCATTTGTTTCAATGGGATGTGTGAGATATAAACTTATTGCCGCAATGCAAAGTTTTCACTCACCTGGGAAGTGCGCCCAAACTAAAGTTTGGGATAGTTTAGATGTGACCTGCATTTTGTTTGCACTGTGAGTAGCTGTGGGTTGTGAGTTGGCCACGTACCATTTCCTCTCTGCTTATAACTCGTGTTGATTATTAATATGCAGCATGAAATAAACTTTCATGCTGCTGGATTTAAAAAGACAAATGAAATGGCTGTGGTCCCTTTTAAATTGAATCTGCTCTAAACATCTCTGTAAATCGCATTAATGTGCACCATAATAACATATACAACTAGTGCTTATGTTGTACTCTAAAGGTGTTTTATTTATTTATATATATTGTACATAGTTGTACTTATTTTTGTTTGCCAAAGTCATATTTGCAACCTGTTGTAAAACACCATATGTAAACACAAAAATATAAAACTAAAAAAAAGTCAGGTGTGACAATATATGGGAAAATGCATCGCTGTCAACTTTTTCTTTCTTTTTCCGGAGCACATGTGTGTAATGCAGCAGTACCCAAGTAAGGACTACAATGAGAGATACAAACCTGGTGTGCAAAATATGGGTCAGACTTATTGAAGAGTGTCTCCTGTACTTAAAGGTCTCAATACCGATACCTCTATATGACAGATAAGAGACAATCTTCTTGCTGGTGGCCTTACGTGTTATCGTTAATGCTCGTCATTTGTGCCACCAGGTCAAATAACCAACAACCACACAATTCAGTAGAAATCTTTCCAAAAACTGGGGAATCATATTCCTACTGCACAGAGAAAACAGAATATCAAAACAGGGCAACACATAAAGCCAATCTGTTTTAGCACTTAGCTACTCTTTTAGTAAAAATAAAAATTGCTGAGATTCAGAGCAGATATTTACACATTAATTAAATCATTGCATGTACATTTCACATTTTTCTACTCATCAACAATGAAAAGTTTTGACTTTGAAAATATTGTGGAAAAATGTCTTTGGGTCCCCAGTTTAATAAGTTACTTACAGAATTGACGTTGCCAAACAGCACCAGGCCTGCTGTTCTTGTTGTGTTGATGCTGTCCAAATGTGGTGTTTTAGAGAAATATTTAGATACAAAACAAACAGATATGGGCCGGAATCTTTAAAGAGGCAATTTGGGTAAATCTGACCCCCATCATTGCCATTTGAAATGTTCTTAGGTAACTGTAAAACTGCATTTAAATACAAGCCACTATAGGTAGTCAATTGATCTAAATAGAATTATTTTGGCTTAACTTAAAAAAAATCAAGCCATCACTCCTCTATACCTCCTGATTAAATCATAACCCGGTCGTTTTTGCTACTGCAGGGGGCAGCATTCAAGCTGCTATCATCTTTGGCTGAAGCCTATGACCAGGAGTCAGGAATATTTATCGCCAAAGTACGTTTGACATACGAGTTGGTGTGAAACATTAGACATGAGATGATGAACAACAAGACAAATAACACATAAACTATATAACGCATAACAGAACACAGAAAAACTTTGACAAATAATAAGGACATTACAATAAAAGTTTTTCCCGCAATATGATGACTGAATATTTGGTGATTAAACATTGTCTCAATGACAAAGAAAGGTAGTAAATAAACAACATAAATTACCTAGAAATGATAAATAAGTCCCACTGCTTAAATGGTTACAAATAATAATTTCCAAAGGTCACTAATTACAGTCACGTTTTTTCAACAATCAAGTCCAGAATTACACTCCGAAGCTTGTTGCATTAAAGTTATTGTATTCTGTGGAAATATATGATGCCTTTTGTGACACGAAAGCTCAAAGTTCAATAAAAAAAGCTCAACACTAACAGACGGAGCCCTACACAGTATATTCAGTGCCTTGCGTATTCCCCCCTCTTGGTCCTTTTTCCCGTTTTGTACTGTTACAAACTCAAATTCAAATAGACTTTTCCAACGCAACATGCATAGTTCTTTGAAGCAAAATACCTTGTTTTGTGACAGAAACAATAATGAGCATAAAAAACTTCATATCTGTAGGATGCATATTCACACCCCTGAGTCAACACTTGGTAGAACCTCTTTTCACTGCAATGAAGTATTTTGGGGTGAGTCTCCACCAGCTTTGCTCATCAGGAGATGGAAATGTTCGTAGATAGCCAAAGGACGATTAAATCCCTAACAGCAACCACCAACTTGTTTCACTGTTGGGACGGTTTGCTCAGGGTGATGGGCAGTGTTGGGTTTCCACCACACATAACCTTTTGCTTTGAGGCCCAAAAGATTTTTGAATTTTTTTTGTATCTCATCTGACCAGAGCACCTGCTGTGTCTCCCACATGTGGCTTCTGACAAACTCGCGCCAGGATTTCTTATGGTTCACTTCCAACAGCGTCTCTCTTCTTGCCACTCTTTCATAAAGGACTGATAGTCCTGTGGACAGATTCTCCCACCTCACCCCAGATCTCTGCAGCTCCACCATGGACCTCTTGGTTGCTTTTCTGATTCATTTCCCTCTTGTCCCGGTGGTCAGTTTGGGTGGACGGCCTTCTGTGGTTGTGCCAGCCAGATTATTTCAATTTATTGATGATGGATCTCATGGTGCTCAGTGAAAAAAAGGGGGGGGGTATACTTGGGATACATGTTATCTAAAAAAGGATAAATATACTTTTTACAATTCCATTTTTTACAATGCATCTCATCTGATGTTTCATGTGTGTGGCCATATTGTTAAATACATTTGAAGTAACAGCCTTTATTAACCGGGCTGCTAAAATAATAAATCCCTCCGCTGACAGAAAATGAAGTCGTCCCTAACTAAGAGGACTCGGGTTCCTCCGGTTACAGTCGGAATCTGAGCCGAGAGCCCCGCGCGCCTCACTGTTACGCGCTACATAACATCCATCGCGTCCTGGCTTGCGGTTTGAGATCGTTCGCATCCAATCAAACAAGTAAGAAAGGAAGTGTCGTTCTGCTGAAATGGACACCGCTGATCAGGTGGGAATCGTCACAAACACCATTCGGACTCAGAGATGTGTGATTATTTGCTAAATTGGCCATATGCGTCGTTAATTGCCAGTGTTTTTATCCTCTGTGCCCTCCTGCAGCTTGCATCGGTGGGAACGTTTCAAGTGCTAAAATTACCTCTGGGATTTATCCGTGTTTTGGAATGGGTGAGTTGCAACTTTGACTGTGCTTTGCATGCAGTAACCTCATTATGCAGCGTAAATACATATTGTCTAATTAACTGCATGCAGGGTGTAACGAGAGTCTGCATGCGGTAATTATTATTTCCACTGCAACTGGTTTTTAGACTCGACAGCTTCCTGTTACAACTTAAACTTCATCACATCAGTGCTTTTAGTGCCTACGGTGTTTTTGCATTTTTCAGCGTAACTAAATAGCTCAAGTTCGTGTAAGGATTCACAGCTGTGATGACTGCACGCCAGGGGATACCGCGGTGTGGCGTTTCATTTAGGCTATGCGTATTTTGGATGCGTTGTGCCAACACTGTGCGTTTTGCGCCAGTCAACAAAAAATGCCCCATTTTACTCCAAGTGCAATTATATAAGAGTGATTGACGATGTAGGGGTGTCCTAGCTCTGACTGAATCAATCCCTCCAGCCGCTTTCTGCCAGGGTACCATCTATAGTCTCTTATTGTACAGTGCACAGCCGCCTAAAGGCAAAAAAGAGATAAGTGACTTTCTTTGATGTGAGTTTAGAGAAATGACTATAGCCATGAGGGAATTTTGTGTGTGTGTGTGTGTGTGTGTGTGTGTGTGTGTGTGTGTGTGTGTTTCAGTGAGAGAGAGCGTGTGTCCCACTTTAATTAATGCCGGAGAATCCCCAAGCAGCAGGGAATGTCCATAAAATATATTGAAGATAGATTGTGCAAATTGCTGGAGTCACTTTCATCAGACACGTGACACTTTAGCTAAAGCAGCTGTCTATCGGTAAGGTCTACCAGTCTGTCCCCCCGTCACTCATTGTGATATTTGTGGGCCAGTGCAAAAGAACAAGCAGATGATCCAAAGCAGGGTGTGTATGATTAAGTGTGTGTGTGTGTGTGTGTGTGTGTGTGTGTGTGTGTGTGTGTGTGTGTGTGTGTGTGTGAGGAGTCGAGGGGAGTATGTGTGTCTTGTAACATCTGTTTTCACAAAGATGTAATCATGACAGCACCTATGTTAGGTTCTGATCCTCTGATCTACTGTTACCCTCGCCCCTTCTGAGGCGAGAAGTTATAAAGAGCCAACTGGCTCGCGTTTAACAATTATCAAGAATTTAATAACTAACAGAAGCAATAAGCAATCCAGTTACAAAGTGAAATAAAGTATCAATAATATAATATTATTTTCGCGAAATAGAGAAGTCCTCTGGTCCAAGTCTTGTATAACCATCAATATTGGTTCACAGGAGGCTTCTGTCTCCTCCTTCTCCAGCTCAGCTCTTCCAATCTCGGAGTGGGGGGGGGGAGGATCATGTGCATGGAAAATCTGAATGTTTGCCTCGCAGGGCTGTCGTACACCCTTTACTAACAGACAGAAGAAAAAACTCGTAAAAAAATCTCTTTGTGGAGAAAATTTGAAATCCATAAAGGACGGCAATTAGCATCCGTCCCCAGGTCTTACATCGTGGCAGATTGTTAATGGGTACATTAATTAAATAACTAGAAATTGTGTTTGATTCATATTGCAATTATTTAATCTAACATGCTAATGTAATAACTAATATCTAATTACACACAAACAACAATTATACCACTAAACATTACATGTACTATAATTTCTATAAAGTAGGTGGGCACTTCTGCTTAAATCCAAACTACCAACAATAACACTAGAAATGTCACAACATGATTAACACCTTATTTTCTGTGGTTATGACCAATGTGCTACATTTTTAATGATTTCATATGACAACAGAAGAAACAAATATTTTTGTTTAGTTTATTCACATGCCCTCGGGTATTAATGGCTGTAGTCAAGGCAGCCATTGACATTTAGTCTGCGTATGATAATGAACCCTCTATACGGCTGACTCGATATTTGGAAGAGCAGAATCTTGTTTGAAGGTTAGGTTAACTTTATTCAAGATAGTTGCACCAGTGTAGTAGGTTTCCTGCATCCTCAGTCACAAGACGAAGGCAAATTGATAATCACCGATGTCAGCAGGACATTCTAGAAGGTTTTACCGCTGTGTGTGTGTGTGCGCACGCTGTCTGTTGGTGTGTTTGGCAGCCCGCCAGTGACCGGCATCTTCCGCTCCAAACAGCTGTAAGGCCCCCCACTCTCCACCATGAACCAACTCATGCAGAAGCTGTCCTTTGAGATGTGCCCAAACTCTTCACTGTATGTTTCAGCATGTGTGTGTGTGTGTGTGTGTGTGTGTGTGTGTGTGTGTGTGTTTGTGTGTGTGTGTGTGTGTGTGTGAGAGTGAGTGAGCGTGTGTGTGAGGGATGGAAGGAGAAAGGGAACAAAATTGTCCAGTTGATTGAGCACATGATGCAAATGATATACTGTAAAGGCCTTTTTATGCGTCGATGCATCATCATGGCTGTTGTATCATCTCACATGGGGTGATTTCACAAGCACCGTCTGAACTTAGAGCCTCCTGTATAGTAAAAGCTGACCGATGATTCATGACTCTAATTTATGAGTACGGGGTCGTCCTCTTATCCAAACCTCAGGAATGACCCACTGTGCTATAATGTCATACTCAGCAGTTTACTGTACACCAGTGAACTTTGCGTTGGAGAAAGCGCAGTCTAGAATTGTGTGTTTGTGTGCAAGATCCAGTTGTACAACAGTAGCTTATTTGTAACAGGGGTGTTGCTTGGGCCCCACAATAGCACATCATTTACCAAGTGATTGTGGCCATTCATTCATACTGTAACATTGTGCTAAAAAAATGAGGCTATTGATACGTGAAAAAGTCAAGCTGACACTGACACTCCATGGAAGACACTGAAATAAAGGAGCATTTTGTTTTTATTATGTTCATAATATACTTACCAATTAAAGGTGTATGAGGAAGCATGACAAACAAATTCCCCTCTGAACACATTAAAAGTGTTAGCTGGTAATCAAGAGCTTTAAGACAGTTCAATTGGGTTTAAGAAAAACTAATGAAAGACAATGAGTGTAATGAACGTTGCACAATGCAGTTCTGTTGGCTTAACATTAGCAGACTTCACAGTGGTATTAATTACAGATCACCAATTAATTGTAGTTGATAAAAAAACATCTTTTGGTTTGATCATTTTAAGACTTCACATTTTGACATGGCCTAATGTGATGGTAATTTTCAACATTTTCTGATATTTCACATAAACATTTATGTGTTCCCTCTAATTTTTACTTTCAAAATGTAGCGTGGAAATACAAGAGTCAAACTGGGACATGTGTAGTTTTCATGCTATGCACTAAAGACAAAACAACACACCCTTATGTAAATGCTCTGTTAGTCAAAGCTGTCCTGTTTTGGCCATTGTATTATTAAGTATTATTAGGTTTGCCTTAAAATGGAATGGAATTGAATTCTTACTCTAATTGATGCAGACATGTTTTAATTTGGAAATGAATACATATTGTGTGAAACCCTAATCTCCAAACACTCGATGCGAGGAACATTATTTATATTCTTTGGGAACTTGAATAAAATGGACCGTACAAATACAGCAAAGCCTCGCCTGCATAAAATACACCACAAGATAAACCAATTTATACAGCAGGACTGGCAGTTAGATGCACGTTTTTGTTCTCACACTCTTTGTCCTTCTTTCTGTCACACTTTGTGTTGCTACTTCATTGGCTTATCATCTTGGTGATGTGTTATAGAGTTTGACAGATTGCTGCACAATTTTCACTTTGCGCAGGAGCATAAGCATGCACACACACTTACACGAGCACACACGCTAACACACTAACATCAAAGGACTGGGGAATAGAAGGAGAGCTGACAGCTGCTGACAGATATCACAAGAGACTTGTCAGGTCAAAGATCTGTTTTTCGGCACTGAAATCACTCAATTCTCTTCGACGAGGGGACATGAGGCTGAGGAATAAAATCCCAATTCCTTTAAAAACTTCTAGAGGTGGTACCGTTTGGTGTGAAGATTTTTGTCTTCATGTCTATTGTGTTTGGGGCTGAATTAAATATGAAACATTTTATTTAGTTAATAACTACAAATTGTTCTGCAACTTGTGGCATTTGACAACCATGCTATCTGTTGGTTGTCCTCAATGTCAGATGGTTTCTCCTTACCCTATAATTTGATGTTCTTTTGGTTGATATTTGAGTTTTAAATCCGTAGTTTAATTCCAATTACGTATATGGGATTTGGCAATGGGCAATATTTACACAGAGAACTCCTGTTTCAACAAAAATCTTGTTGGAAGCTTTTTATCCAATATTTAAATTGCTAATTAAATAACTCCTACCTATTGATTATATTACAATAGCATTAAAAGTATGGTTGATCCGCAAGATTTTTCCTTGAGGAGGAAACCCCATGTTCGGTCCAAGAGCTCTTGGTTGAGTTTTCAGGGACTATCCTTAACATGTATCCTATGTTGTACATTAACTTGATTGTGAAAAAAGATGATTTTTAATAGACACTAATCAAAAATGTTATATTAATAATGGATCAAAGTATTACATTTAGGCTAATGTGAAAAGAGGCTGTAAATGTGACAAACCGACAAAGAATAATCCCCAGACTAGTCACCCTCCCCCCGGCTCTTTGGATCCTTTTAGCAGCTTTCACTTTTGCTTTAGTTTTCGAAACAGTCATTTTGTGGTTTTGGTTCAGTTTCACTGTCATCGTCCCTTTTAATGCAAAAAAGAAAAAAACTTCAAATGACACGGAACTAGCTGGCAAGTATTGTGCCGATTTCTCAGCTAAAGAGATATTTCAGGATTGGATTGATAAAAAGCTAAAATAGGAGTTTAAGAATGACTGCTCAAGATAAATATTAAAATTGCTCTGGGTCTGCTGGTAAATATCCTTTTGCATTTTGCCCTATAAGATGAGAATATGTCAGAGTTTCCCAAGTATTGTGCTGCCATCAGTCCCCAAAAATTACTGAATGCAAGTTTGAGCATTCGAGTGACTTCAGTTGTGGGGTTTCTTCACTTGAAGTTGAATCTGAGTAACATTCCAGTAATGACGT